GTCACCGTCAGTTCAGTGTTCTCCACTACGGCATCCTTGGTACTTTCCTACTTTCTCTTTTCTTATTCACGCTGATGACCCAGGGCCCAATCCGGCCGGACAGGTACCAGACAAAGTTCCTGTTTGTAACTCATTGTTTTAGCAGTTACCACTCGTACTCCTTTTTCCTCACAGAACAGATGCTAAAAACAACCACACTCCACAGCTATAAAAACTTACACACTTCTCTTTCCTTTGTACTTCCTGTAGACTCTGTATGACTTGTACCTCAGAATAAATACGCAGAGACAACTCTGTTCGGGACCAACTTTATTTCACATTTCCAGAACGGTCATCTCCATTAGCTACAGGTGATACCCATGTTAGGGGTGAATGATAGTTCTGTAGCGCTTAGGCTCATGGTAGGTGTGAATGCAGATGTAGCGTAAAAGTGCTTTGAGTGGTTGAAAAGACTAGAAGGCACTATACAAATAAAAGAGCATTTACATTTACCATCTTCAGTTCATAAAAAAGGTTTCTCCATGGCCCTGCTACCCCTTCCACCAAGTTCATGAAAATGTCCAATCTAGTGGTTTTCACCAAGAAAAGCTATCTTCGAGTGTTACATTTAAAATATTCAAAAAAGTGACTTAAGACATGTTAAATATGGCTAAAATTTGTTGAGCATCCAGGATTACAATAATAGGCCTACTAATTCCTTTTACTACAGTATGTGTATGTATAGAGTTGTGTAATTATTTATTATTACCCATAATTTCATTTCATTAGCAGGGTTTTTTTTTATACAACCAGGATTCTTGTATAACTTGGGCAGTGGCCAGCTGAGGTGGTACTAAACAAAGCCGAGAGAGCCGGCTCGGAAAGGACTTGGTCATAATATCCGGTTCCCTTCAAAGAGCCGAGATTCCCTTCGCTAACAGTTATTGCTACGTCATCAAACATTGACGGAAAAAGCGCGGTCACGTGCTTTAGAAGCTCCAGATCAACATGGCTGCCTGCATGAAGATGCTCGGTGCAGCAAGACAGCTACCCAGAAATTCGGCCCTTGTTGTAAAACCAAACTGGCCCGGGTTGTTCCGCCGCCCCTGACCGACACATCAGCCGTGAGCCGGCTCCAGCCCCACGGTTCTACACCGGCACAGGGACCCCACATAAAACATGCGCCCACCGCTCCTCTAACATTCCAGTCAGCACAGCAATGACAGCTGGCTGCAGGCTGACCGCCAGACCGCACCGGTGGATGCGGGCCGGGGCCGTTCTCCGCGGCCAACCCGGTCTCCTCACACCGACCTCGCGACCCGACACCATTCAGGACAGAATGTTCGGGAACCGGGCCAGTGGCGCAGGCTTCTCGGGGGAGGACGGCGGAGACAACGCAGGTCCGGGGGGAAGAGTCTGGGGGAGATGGGGGAGTGCCGTACAACGGACCTCAGATGACGGCTCTCACCCAATGATAGTTCCAGAGGTATTCCCAACGTGCCCTGATCGCTGTGAGCAGGAACCCAGTGTTCCCCGCTTCACAAGATCATAGAGGTGAGGATGATGCAACCTTACATTTCCTGCCCTGTTCGACGGGTAACAGTCTCCACATTATCTACGGCACTGTGATAGATGATTGGTTAAGTGTACTAACTCCATTTGATGCTTTATTAATCAGTACATTAAACAATCCTCAAACTCCTGTGGGGTAATTTCCTTTAGAAACCCTGCACGGGAATGGTTACAGAACATACAGGGGTAAACTGATGTTTCAACCAAAGACCAACACTCTCAGGGTACTATTATTGTTTCTATGTGCTGAGTGTGTGTGGTGTGTTTCTGTCTTTCTGTCAGGTGAAGAACAAAGCATTGATGGAGCTGTTGAGGAGGAAGGTTCGTCTGGCTCAGCCGTATGCCGGAGTCTTCCTGAAGAGAGATGATAAGTAAGTCTGAAGACTTACTCCTGCTAGAATCACTGTTGGTCATGTTGATCCAGACCTGAGAAGGACAGCTGTACTCCTTGACTGTGTGCTTACATGCACTGATCTTACTGTCCCTGGCTTTTACTTGATTCATAAAACATGATGTAAAGCTGCTCGGTGTGCCAATAGAGACCTTTATTTTGAAACAGCTTCCAGAAATGCAATGTATTTGTTGCTGAGAGCAGTGGGGCTTTATTTGAGGTCTTCATAAAATATTGTTCTACACAACAGAGTGTTTTTTCTGCAGATCAGTTTAAATGTCTCAGTTGGTGGTAAAACACCATCATCTGTGTCTGATGTGATCTACTTTATAGGGCAGTGTGTCAAATGTGCTGGACATGCTGTCTGCTGTCCATGTCTGTGTGTTGGTAGTAATGAGTGTTTATGTCTCATGCAGTAATGAGTCAGATGTGGTGGAGTCTCTAGATGCCATCTACTCTACAGGGACCTTTGTTCAGATTCACGAGATGCAGGACCTGGGAGACAAGCTGAGGATGATCGTCATGGGACACCGCAGGTTAGAAACAGCTGCTGGTGGGCCGAACATCGGGGAAAAGGCATAGTGAAAGTCTGTAGACTCTGCTCTCTGTGGCACACTGCTGCCTGTTTCCTTTTGTAGACCTCTGGTGTATGTATTCTGTGGTCTGTCAGGATCCGGATCACAAGACAGCTGGAGGTGGAGCCCGAGGAAGCAGCGACGTCCCCTCTGTGGTCAGAGTCTGAGGCAGAGTCCCAACCTAAACCTCCACCGAGACGCAAAGCCAAACGCAGCCGCAAGGACCAACCGGGTTCTCTGTCAGAGCAGCTGGAGGACAAGGTCTGTAACGGGGCCCTCACCTGCCACACCTGTAGCCATCTACACATGCTGTCAGTCAGTAGATCTGAAGCATTACTCAGACACATCTAAGCAGGACATGCTGCCAATCAACACCTTCACCATTTTTTGAACCAGTTCCTCTTCAGTTGGTACTGAGTCAGCACACACTGAGTTGGCTTCAGTAAACACTGGGACACAGTGAATGATCTGAAACACAAATTGAAGAACCCAAGGCTGGAATAGCAACTAGGCAAAGTGGTGCCTAAGGTCCCCAGTAGCCCCGAAAGTACCAGGTTCATCGATGTTGGCTAGTTTTGGTAATTTGATTAATTGCAAATTTGTTAGAGAATTGACACTAGCAGGTTTCAAATCAAACATCAACGCTAGTTTTCATTTTTAGTTCAGGGTCCTCTTGGAGTGTGGTTGATGTGATATTTGTTGTTACTGAAGCATGAGACTGAGAACATGACCACAGATATTAATGTACTGAATGCAAAATATTATTAATGCAGATCTCTTGTTTTTGAAGCGTTTAAAAATAATTGTATTTAAGTAATCCCTCTCACACCTTTATAAAACAGTATCACTTTTTATTTATTATTTTGTTTATTTCACTTGCTTTAAATCATTTGCTCTAATCTGTACACTATGGGGCAGTCATGTTCTAAGATGTCAGTATTAAACGTTTGTGTAAAGTGGGGAAAAAAGTTTTTAAGGATGTTGCCAGCAGAAACAATGTTGCACCCCCTGCTGCAGTCCAGCCAATCAGATGACTCTTTTCTTCCTCTCTGGATTTTTGCTACATCTTTCCCGTAGCACTCTGCAGACTGCAGTGATTTATGTACTTAATGGAAACTTGGAGGCCATGAGGTACATAGAAAATGCAACGAGGGCGGTAGGTGGGCTGGAAGCATTACAACGAGCCCTACAATTGTTTGCCCTGTGGTCCCCAAATGGGTTAATCCATCTATGGCCTCTCATGTATTCTGTTATGACATCTATCATCGTCATTAGTTCATCTGTGGTGGCAGTATAAGCATTTGTAGTTGTAGTTTATATTCATTTTCATGTTGATGAAAGTGATTTTAACTGTGTTGTTGGTCAGATTTCAGAAGCACACCTGAGTCCAGAGCTCCAGCCGCTGCCCTCCTCCAATATCCTGATGGTCGAAGTGGACAATGTTCAACATGAGCAGTTCACTGTCACAGAAGAGGTCAAGGTACAAAACATACATTAAAATAGATAGCACAGTATGGTGTGGTAGCAAGTCTCAGTGGTGTGTGTTCGTGTGTCCGTGTGTCCATCCTGCAGGCGCTGACAGCAGAGATAGTGAAGACCATCAGGGACATCATTGCACTCAACCCCCTCTACAGGTCAGTCCGGACCACATTCTATTAGCCTATATTTGTTTTGGTACTTATTTACATCATAAACATTCAGTTGACACTTAGCCCATATGCCTATGTACAGCTAGTCAAGCACTTTTGATATGTTTGTTAAAAAATACAACCTGCATCACTTTATTAGTGTTCTGTAGTGTTTTGCATCTCCTTAAGACATCCTAAATTCCACTTTAATTTCAGGGTTAAGATCTTTGCATCATGTTAATTAAATATTTTCTTTACCTGAATAACCACCACATGGTTGGTTGAGGATGGACCTGTGCACATTCATGCAGAGTCTCCAGGCTTCTATAGTTATGATACGATGATGGATGGAACATGGTGGATAGTGTGGTGTAAGCAGTGGGTTTATTTAACAGTGAAATACAGCATTGGACATCAGTGTGAAATCCGTTCAAGAGTACAGTGGGTACGGAAAGTATTCAGACCCCTTTAAATTTTTCAGTCTTTGTTTCATTGCAGCCATTTTCCAAAAATCAAAAAAGTTCATTTTATTTCTCAGTAATGTACACTCAGCACCCCATCTTGACAGAAAAAAACAGAAATGTAGAAATTTTTGCAAATTTATTAAAAAAGAAAAACTGAAATATCACATGGTCATAAGTATTCAGACCCTTTGCTCAGGATTTAGTAGAAGCACCCTTTTGATCTAATACAGCCATGAGTCGTTTTGGGAAAGATGCAACAAGTTTTTCACATCTGGATTTGGGTATCCTCTGCCATTCCTCCTTGCAGATCCTCTCCAGTTCTGTCAGGTTGGATGGTAAACGTTGGTGGACAGCCATTTTCAGGTCTCTCCAGAGATGCTCAATTGGGTTTAAGTCAGGGCTCTGGCTGGGCCATTCAAGAACAGCCACGGAGTTGTTGTGAAGCCACTCCTTCGTTATTTTAGCGGTGTGCTTAGGGTCATTGTCTTGTTGGAAGGTAAACCTTCGGCCCAGTCTGAGGTCCAGAGCACTCTGGAAAAGGTTTTCGTCCAGGATATCCCTGTACTTGGCCGCATTCATCTTTTCCCTCGATTGCAACCAGTCGTCCTGTCCCTGCAGCTGAAAAACACCCCCACAGCATGATGCTGCCACCACCATGCTTCACTGTTGAGACTGTATTGGACAGGTGATGAGCAGTGCCTGGTTTTCTCCACACATACCGCTTAGCATTAAGGCCAAAAAGTTCTATCTTGGTCTCATCAGACCAGAGGATCTTATTTATCACCATCTTGGAGTCCTTCAGGTGTTTTTTTTAGCAAACTCCATGCGGGCTTTCATGTGTCTTGCACTGAGGAGAGGCTTCCGTCGGGCCACCATAAAGCCCCGACTGGTGGATTGCTGCAGTGATGGTTGACTTACTACAACTTTCTCCCATCTCCCGACTGCATCTCTGGAGCTCAGCCACAGTGACCTTTGGGTTCTTCTTTACCTCTCTCACCAAGGCTCTTCTCCCCCGATAGCTCAGTTTGGCGGCCAGCTCTAGGAAGGGTTCTGGTCGTCCCAAACGTCTTCCATTTGAGGATTATGGAGGCCACTGTGCTCTTAGGAACCTTTAAGTGCAGCAGAAATTTTTTTGTAACCTTGGCCAGATCTGTGCCTTGCCACAATTTGTCTCTGAGCTCTTCAGGCAGTTCCTTTGACCTCATGATTCTCATTTGCTCTGACATGCACTGTGAGCTGTAAGGTCTTATATAGACAGGTGTGTGGCTTTCCTAATCAAGTCCAATCAGTATAATCAAACACAGCTGGACTCAAATGAAGGTGTAGAACCATCTCAAGGATGATCAGAAAAATAGACAGCACCTGAGTTAAATATGAGTGTCACGGCAAAGGGTCTGAATACTTATGACCATGTGATATTTCAGTTTTTCTTTTTTAATAAATTTGCAAAAATTTCTACATTTCTGTTTTTTTCTGTCAAGATGGGGTGCTGAGTGTACATTACTGAGAAATAAAATGAACTTTTTAGATTTTTGGAAAATGGCTGCAATGAAACAAAGAGTGAAAAATTTAAAGGGGTCTGAATACTTTCCGTACCCACTGTAGACTGAGCATCTGAAATGAATTACTTAAAATGTCTTCCTCCCTACCGACAGCCAGTGCCTCTCTAGGCAACATCATAAAGGTGGGGACACACATACAACTGTTAGCCAATTGACCCCTCCTGCTAACTTTCTACTGAATGTAACGTGACATAAGCCTACTGCTTTATCTTTTAATGATTTGTAATAGTGAACAGAGACCTACCGAGCGTTACAGGAACAGTGTTGATCCTTAATATCGTCAGGTGATGCGGTGGTTCACTTTTATTCTGTGATCACTAGTCTTTTCGACCACTCAAAGCGCTTTTACACTACATCGCATTCACCATTCACTCACTGAGCCTAAGTGCTCAAACAGAAACTAACATTCGCACACATTCATACACTGGTGGAACAGCCGCCAGAAGCAATTCAGGACACTTCGACATGCAGCCTGGAGGAGCCGAGGAACCGCCAACCTTCCGATTAACGGGCAACCCGCTCTACCTCCTGAGCCACAGCCACCCCCCTGCTTCAGTGATGACTGATTATACCAAGTTGGTGGAGACAGCTGGCTGATAAAATATAGTGTGTGTGATTCTAAGCTTCTAATCTTAAGTCTTCAGATTCACTCGCTGCCAGTCATTCTCATAAATACTTTTTAAAATATATTTGGTATTTGCGACTTACATTGACAACACTTGTCTGCTGAAAGTTACCATGTGATTCCATAAGGCAGCATCTGAAAAAGACTGGAAGTGCATTCTAGTTTTATTCTGTGAATAAGGACAACTGTTTCACATTAAAGTCAGAGTTTGATTTAGTCTCAGACCAGCAGGCTCAGGAATAAATGCAAATGTAGTGATGGTGAAATAGATCTGTTCTTAAATGGGCTTCTTTGTGTTTGTCAGAGAGTCGGTCCTCCAGATGATGCAGGCTGGTCAGAGAGTGGTTGATAATCCCATCTACCTCAGCGACATGGGAGCTGCTCTGACAGGAGCAGAGTCACATGAACTACAGGACGTCCTGGAGGAGACCAGTGTGAGCAGTCTGCGTGCTTAATACCTGTTTTGTTGTCTCGTCCACTGAGTGGGAGATGCTCTTGGAAGATTCCTACATAAAAGCTCAGGGAAGTGGCTGTTGCCGCTCTTTAACTGAGGTGGGGAACTTCTCAGACATTCATATGCCAAACCAAACAGTTGGTCCTCAGCATTCTCTTAAACTGAAAGATGCTGTATATACAGTTAAAGCACATCAACATTGTGTAGCATATAAATAAATTGAATATTTGGGAAACGGTGTCCTTTCTGACTGCGTTGACGCGCCAAGCATGATCAATGGAAGAGAGTCCTCCTCCTCTGAGTCTGTGCTGTCAGCTTGGAGCAGTTCTGCTGCCCTTTAATCCAAACGCCGGCTTCAGATGACTGTATTTCTGTCATAGGTAATACATGATCAGCAATAAAGCTGGGGAAAAAACCATGAAAAACAAAAATGTAGCAGTTTGAAAGAGCTACTAGCTTCTGAATCTGCATGTGGCGCCATTGCCATGTAGAATTTCCCACCTCTGATAGAGAACAGCTTCCCTAAGTATTTCAAAATGTTGATATCCTTATATTTAGCTTCCATTAAAGCTGTACAATGTAAAAAAAGTTTATAGTGTACTGACCTTTGAAAGGTGTTTGCTTTGTCTGCAGATCCCAAAGCGTCTCTACAAGGCTCTGTCTCTGCTAAAGAAGGAGTATGAGCTGAGTAAACTGCAGCAGCGACTGGGCCGAGAGGTCAGAGGGGGTCACCAAACATACAGTAACATACATACCTGTTTCCCTGCTCCTCTCACCCGTCCCCCTGCTCCTCTCACCCGTCCCCCTGCTCCTCCTCTCACCCGTCCCCCTGCTCCTCCTCTCACCCGTCCCCCTGCTCCTCCTCTCACCCGTCCCCTTGCTCCGCTCACATGTCTCCCTGCTCCGCTCACAGGTGGAAGAGAAGATCAAACAGACTCACAGGAAGTACCTGCTACAGGAGCAGCTCAAGATCATTAAGAAGGTACTACAGAATATGTCCTCTGATCTCTCTCTGTACTGCGTCTGTCAGCAAAACACTCGTCTCTCAAACTCTATGGGGCTTTGCAGCAGCAGTGAAAACCTGTTAAGACTTTAGAATTTAGCACTTTTCCTGTATGTCACACCAGTTAAACTAATCCAACGTGGACCGTCACATATTCCATCAAACGACCCTGCTATAGGTGGTATTTATTGCAGGGCTGGATTACATAAAATGGCACCCATGTTTACCATCCATCCCCATAATGTGTCAGGATCTTTTTATATTACTGTCATATTACTGTCACTAATATGATTGCAAAATACTGCATATCACAGACTCACCTACAAGTGATGACATTATTGTAGGTAACATACAGTGAGGTGATCGTATCTTTACATCAGCTGTGCTGTGATTCCCACCGCTGAAACTTTTGTTGGTTTTGTGGGTTTTTAGGAGCTGGGTCTGGAAAAAGAGGACAAAGAAGCTATCGAGGAGAAGTTTAGAGAGAGACTCAAAGATAGGACTGTCCCTCAGCACATAATGGACGTCATCAACGAAGAACTCAACAAACTGGGACTGCTGGACAACCACTCTTCAGAGTTCAAGTTGGTCTTGTATTTCTTGTCCCGCTAGACAGGGAGGGCCTTTATGACGTCACTTTGTTGGATTGACAGACACTTGAGTCCAGAACAACTTATCTCGACTACTGAACAGAGTGGCATGAAATTTAGTTTAGGTATTCGTGAACTCTGGAAAATTATTTCAAATGTCATGATGACCCCTAGAACTTTTTTCTTTCTAGTGCCATATTCAGCCTCACTTACACTATAGGGACAAAAATACTGGGACACCCCTGTCCCAATACTGTTACCTAACTATACTTTTGGGAGCGTCTAGACCGTACTCTATGATGATATTTACAGAAGGGGGGGGGGGGGGGGAGAGAGAGATATAAGGAGAGAGGCAGCCTACACAATATACACACAGAGGTACACACAGTGAAGGTGATGTTGCTATAGACTAAATGAAAAATGGTACAGATATTTATAGTAGTGTTAATGGTAACAATCGTAATGTTAATGATTATAATAACAATAAGACTAGCAACAATAGTCGTTGCAGCAGAGGGTGTCGAGCAGGAACACGGGGGCAGCAGGTGACCCGCAGCCACAGATCCAGACTCCACAGCTCCAGAGCCAGAAAACCTGCAGGAAGTGATAGGAGGAGAGAGGAGAGAGACGAGAAAACACAAGACTACCAGAAAGGGGAGAAGTTGTGTTAGTAACATGCAATAATGGGATGAGGTTGCATACAGAGGGAGAGAAAGTAGAGGAGAGAGGAGCTCAGTGCATCATGGGAAATCCCCCGGCAGTCTAGGCCTATAGCAGCATAACTAAGGGATGGTTCAGGACTCACCTGAGCCAGCCCTAACTATAAGCTTTATCAAAGAGGAAAGTCTTAAGCCTACTCTTAAATGTGGAGATGGTGTCTGCCTCCTGAACCCAAACTGGAACCTGGTTCCACAGGAGAGGAGCTTGATAGCTGAACGCTCTGGCTCCTAGTCTACTTTTGGAGACTCTAGGAACCACAAGTAACCCTGCATTCTGGGAGCGCAGTGCTCTGGTGGGGTAGTAAGGTACTATGAGCTCTTTAAGATAAGATGGTGCCTGACCATTAAGAGCTTTGTAGGTAAGAAGAATGATTTTAAATTCTATTCTGGATTTTACTGGAAGCCAATGCAAAGAAGCTAAAACAGGAGAAATGTGATCTCTTTTCCTGGTTCCTGTCAGAACACGTGCTGCAGCATTCTGGATCAGCTGAAGAGTCTTAATGGACTTTTTCGAGCAGCCTGATAATAAGGAATTGCAGTAATCCAGCCTAGAAGTAACAAATGCATGGACTAGTTTTTCTGCATCATTTTTAGACAGGATGTTCCTGATTTTCGCAATATTCCGTAGGTGAAAAAAGGCGGTCCTTGAAATTTGTCCTGATCAAAGATAACTCCAAGATTCCTCACAGTGGTGCTGGAGCCCAGGGCGATGCCATCCAGGGAAACTATATCTTTAGATAATGCGTCACGGAGGTGCTTAGGCCCCAGAACAATAACTTCAGTTTTATCTGAGTTTAACATGAGAAAATTACAGGTCATCCAGGTTTTAACATCCTGAAGGCACATTTGAAGTTTAGCTAACTGATGAGTTTCATCTGGCTTGATCGATAGATATAACTGAGTATCATCTGCATAACAATGAAAGCTTATGGAATGTTTCCTGATAATATTGCCTAAAGGAAGCATATATAAAGTGAAGAGGATTGGTCCGAGGACAGATCCTTGAGGAACTCCATGAGTAACTTTGGCGTGCATGGAGGACTCATCGTTAACATGTACAAACTGAAATCGATCTGATAAATAGGACTTAAACCAGCTTAGAGCGGTTCCTTTAATGCCAATGAAGTATTCCAGTCTCTGCAATAGGATGTGATGGTCAATGGTATCAAATGCAGCACTAAGATCTAATAAAACCAGTACAGAGACAAGTCCTTTGTCTGATGCAATAAGGAGGTCGTTAGTAATTTTCACCAGTGCTGTCTCTGTGCTATGATGAGCTCTAAATCCTGACTGAAAATCCTCAAATAAACTATTGCTCTGTAGAAAGTCACACAGCTGTTTAGCAACTGCTTTCTCCAGAACCTTAGAGAGAAATGGAAGGTTAGATATAGGTCTGTAGTTGGCTAAAACATCCGGATCAAGTTTGGGCTTTTTCAGAAGAGATTTAATTACAGCTACTTTAAAGTACTGTGGTACATAGCCTGTTGATAAAGATAGATTGATCATATCTAGTATAGAGGTGCTGACTAAGGGTAAAACATCTTTAAGCAGCCTAGTCGGATGGGGTCTAAGAGGCAGGTTGATGGTTTAGATGAAGAAATTATTGAAGTTAGTTGGTAAAGATTGAGGGAAGCAAAACAGTCTAAACATGTATCTGGTTCTACAGCTGTTTCTACGGTTCCTGAGTTAAGAGATAAGTCTGTGCCAGATGAGGGCAGGTCTTGGTGAATTTTGTCTCTAATAGCTAGAATTTTATCATTAAAGAACCTCATGAAGTCGTAACTACTGAGAGCTATGGGAATACTTGGCTCAATAGAGCTGTGACTCTCTGTCAGCCTGGCTACAGTGCTGAAAAGAAACTTTGGGTTGTTCCTATTTCCTCTATTAATGACGAGTAGTACGCTGCTCTAGCATTACGGAGGGCCTTCCTATAAGTTTTAAGACTATCTTGCCAAATTAAACGAGAATTTTCCACTTTGGTGGAACGCCAATTCCTCTCAAGTTTCCGCGATATTTGCTTTAATTTGCGAGTTTCAGTATTATACCATGGAGCTAACTGTCTTTGTTTTAGTATTTTCTTTTTTAGAGGGGCTACAGAGTCGAGTGTCATTCGCAGCGAGCCTGCAGCACTATCAACAAGATGATCGATTTGGGAGGGACTGAAACTAGCATAGGAGTCCTCCATTACTTTGTGACTAGATAATGTATTTAGAGCTGATGGAATCGCATCCTTAAATTTAGCTACAGCACTATCAGACAGACATCTTGTATAGAAATTTTTGCCCAATGGCGAGTAGTTCAGCAATACAAACTCAAAAGTTATCAAACAGTGGTCGGATAAAGAGGGATTTTGTGGGAACACCACTAAATGTTCAATTTCAATACCATACACCAAAACAAGGTCGAGGGTGTGGTTAAAACAGTGAGTCGGTTCATGAACACTCTGAGAGAAGCCAATGGAATCTAACAGAGAGATAAACGCAGTACTAAAGCTGTCATTCTCAACATCCACATGAATACTAAAATCCCCTACAATAATAACTTTGTCTGTTTTAAGGACTAAAGTTGACAAAAACTCTGTAAATTCAGATAAGAATTCAGAATACGGGCCAGGTGCTCGGTACACTATAACGATGAGAATTGGTTGCAGTGATTTCCAACTTGGGTGCGAAAGACTAAGAACAAGGCTTTCAAATGAGTTATAGTTTGGTTTAGGTTTAGAGCTGATTAGTAGGCTAGAGTCGAAGATAGCTGCAACTCCACCTCCTCGGCCTGTGCCTCGAGGAATGTGAGTATTAATATGACTGGGAGGGGTGGATTCATTTAGGCTAACATATTCTCCATCACCCAGCCAGGTTTCAGTAAGACAAAATAAATCAATATCATATCTCATATTAGTTCATTTACTAGTACACCTTTAGAAGAGAGAGATCTGATGTTTAAGAGTCCACATTTAACTCTCCTATTCATTTGCACTATTGCTCTTGTGGTTTTAATTTTTGTGAGGTTTTTATGCACAGCTCCTCTTCTGTTTACCTTTTTAAATAATTTCGATGGTCGGGGGGCAGACACCGTCACTATAGGATTTTCACTAAGTAACTCCTGAAATGGAGGAGCAGAGAAGTGTGTTAGACTGCGACTCTGCGTAGGGTTTTGGGTGGGAAACTGCTGAAAAAGAAGGGCAGAGAAGTGTGTTAAACTGCGACTCTGCCTCTGTCATAAAAGTAATGTTTAGGTGTCCAAGTACATTTGACCATATAGTGTATTTCCACCTGTGCAAAAATTTAGAGTAACAAAATGTATTGAGGAGATTCATGAGATTTCCTCTAGTATAAACAATAGTAAAGTGTAACAGTAGGGCTGTACATATATTATTTTTCAAGTCGATTAATCTAACGATTATTTTTTCGATAAATCTAACGACTAATTTTGTTTATTCTAAAAAAAGAAAAGTTGCCTATTACTCTATTTAAAATACCAATTTATCCAAAATAAATATCAAAAACATGTCATCCTGATGAAGCACATTAGAATAATGACAATAGCAGCAAATCTTAAGGCAAGGCAAGTTTATTTGTATAGCACATTTCAACAACGAGGTAATTCAAAGTGCTTTACATAAAACATAAAAGCAACAGGGAAATATAAAAAAGTTTAAAAGCAACAATAGGAAAATAAAAAAATACACATTAAAAAATAAAAGTTACAGTGCAGTTTTTACAATCAGGGTTAAAAGAGTTGAATGAAAAGTAAAAACAGGCTGAGGGGTTGAGCAAATAATTGAGTTACAATTATTTTGAAAAGAGAATAAACAGAAGAGAAGTACACTTAATCTACTCGCTCTAGCTAGTCTGTACTCAGGTCCATAGCAATCTTTGGGTCCACTGAAACTCCAAAACCCTCGGACACTACAGAGAAACCAGGACATGTCTGTCCGCAGGCCACTTTCATCCAGGTATACTCTGGACCCACCTGCACGTTTACAGGTGGACAGAGGTTCCTGCAAATCACTCAGGCGTGAGATTTAACACCACTTCCTTCACTCTGTTCAATCTCACTCTCATTATCTGTTACCTACTCATTTCTCACCGTGTAAATATTTAATTAAAAGCAATGGTAAAAAGCAAAAAACAAAGAAAAAGAAAACAATACAAGTTATAGTTATCAATCTACTAGTTAAAGGCAATGGTAAAAAAATTTTAATTTTTTATTTAATTTAAAAAAGAACTGACAGTTTCAGCAGACCTGCAGTTATCTGGGAGTTTGTTCCAAATA